GGTATGGTTACACCAAGGCAATGCATGTATTTGTACATTTTCTATAACTTGACGGTGTATTATGTAATGGGCTAAATCCGAAACCAGGGTAGTAACTATGCTGTTTAGTATGTCTTGTGCTGCTACGCTAATTGTTTGAGATATTGTCTTCGTGTGATTATGTTTTACTTGCGCACATTTCTCAAAAAATATGAAAAGCCCCTGGTAAACTCGAAGCGTTGAAAACCCTACCAAGAGGTCCTGCAGCTCGTGATAGGAACGGTAGAGCCATGATCTTTGGTGCGGTGTTTACCAACAAGTAAGCCGTGCCTTCTCCTGGAAATCCGATACCGTTGTCGGCACGGCAGACGTACTGACCGGCGGCTTCTTTCGTGGCGTTCAATCGTAAAGTCACATGAGTCTCACTTTTTCTTATAGCGGGTATCTGAAAAGGTCACTATTTTAAATAATAATAATATTAATGCAAAGGATTTTAAAAGAGGATTTCGTAGTATACTGAAAGCTGGCGTTCCAAATTACGTTTTGAAGAAAAATGATTTTCTACTGAAAACAGCCCCTTTGATTTGATACTAGGGTGATACTCAATCAGTTGTCAATCTCGTCGTTTTTATGGAGTCGTTTGTACCAAGAGGTCCTGCAGCTTGTGATAACTTGTGAAATTGGCTAGACAAAGAGCATAACAAGTTCCAGCGAAGCTTTAAGACAAATCCCCTTGAGGGCGGTCACGTTTTACATTCCTCTGAAGTCATTCAATAGGTGTCAGATCTTTCCGAGGCAGAGAACACTGACCAGGGAAGTGTTTCGATTACCCATAGAACTTTGAAATGAGAACTAGGTAAATCGATAGAGCCTGAGATAAATGTGTCAATCGAAACTGCTGCGTGAATCTGTCAAGAGAGGTGTTAGCGATCAAAGTGGTTCCACGTTTGATTCCCCGTCAAGACAAAAATTTGTACTCTGGGCTGGCGCCACATCTCGGCAGCGCCGAGATAGATATCATCTTTGTGATAATGTTAAATGATATGCTTACGCTCCATTACCAGCCGAATTTCAAGTTGCCTAGGTCTTAAAGAAATTCTATGGGAAGTTCAAACACTTTCCTGATGAGTTGACCCTCTAAAACCGTTCCGAAGCCCAAATCCCGTGTAAATGGCCACTACAATACTGGTTCGAAATTAGTGTGTGAGGCACATGAAAATCGGTTTATCAACGACGAGCGATTCATTTTCACTAAATGCCACAACACAAGAGAACTGCTCTGGGGAAAACGTAGCTACCAAGTGCAAGCACCACAGGACTTTTCCTGGCAGCCCTTCTAGAGAAGGATTCCATCTTCTCGCGCCGCTATCGCCGCTGTACGCCCACCCCTCGCCGACTGCTCCAGCCGCATAGTAGCGCGAGCATTGGTGTTGGTGTGTTCAGTACCCATGAGACACGACTAACACGCAGAGCAGCGGGCGAAAAGGGTCGTATTTCTCTGGTTCAGGTTGTTTTTCTTGGTTTTTCTTTATCCTTGCACCGCTGGCCACCTCCTCGCTTTCTAGGTGGCTGCCTTTTCGTCACAAACTCTACCTTCAAAGGTGGCACAGGTGTAAAGGGGGGATTTCACTATTAACAAATCCGATTGTTCTTCACGCCAACATTCATGTGAACCAGTAATCCCAGAAAAAAATTCAAATCCAGCATCGCTGCTGTACAGTGTTTCACTAATTTCAGGAATGTAATCTTCAAGACCGTCCGCACCAACCTCTTGTCCGTTTCTCAACCATTGCACCATATTCGGCTTACGTGGTTCACCGTCAGCTTCGCACTCTAGCACAACAAGCTCACCTTCGGACGCGATTATTGGAGAAGAGATGCTTGTGACCTTAAATCAAAGTGATTTAATTGAGCGCTGAAAATCGTCCATCTATTCCATTCAGTGAATTGGCGGAATAGTGATTTCACGAAACAGTATAATTTTTACTTACCCGTGCACTATACTCCACAGTAAGCTGGATCGTAACATTAGCGGTTCCGACGCTGTTCACGGCGAATAGCGTATACATACCGGCATCGGAGCTCTGTAACATAAAGATTAGCGCAGTAGGAAAGCAAACCAACGACTTAGAAGCGTGCAGAATAGAATTTGCTAAGTGTATGGGGCGGGCCAAGGAGTGCAGCGAACAAGCACTTGGAAAAGCTGGCAAATTTGGCTATCCGTTCGCCGTATGTTCGGAGACAGCAAGGCAACAACTTCAAGCAAGTGTGAGTTAGTACGCTGACGACAGGCTGACGCGCATGCGCGTCAGAAATTTGGCACCGCATCGGACATTCTGACGCGCATGCGCGTCAGAACTATGTCACTCATTTTTATTGTGCTTGCGCTCCTTCTTCTCGAGTTTTTGTATTCATTCTATAGATAATACATTAGCATAACTATAAACCACATGGCAGCCAGAGTGGTCAAATATCCTTGATTTAGCAAAGATTTTCTGAACGCACAAAACTTTCATTTCAATTCTTTCCTAGTTTTCCTTTCAGTCGTAAACATTCATGTGAAAGATTGTAGAAAAAGTTAACACAAAACTCTGTGAGATAACTGTATTTGATGGAAAAACCAAAGTATAAACTTCTTACTCCATTCGTAGCGAAAGTGGACTTTTTGCTTTTCGTGATCATTATGGGTTCTTCCAGACAAGCTTTCTTCTTCTTCTTCTCCCTAGCGTTAGTCCCGCGCAGTCGCAGGGTCCGCTGTCTTTGTCAGTCGTCGCCACTTTGCTCTGTCCAGGGCATCTTCTGCTGTGGCCATGACTTCACTTAGGTCCTTCTTGATTACGTCTCTCCACCTCTTCTTTGGGGCTCCTCGCGGTCGCTTGCCTTGCACTTCGAAGTCCATCGCTGTTCTTATCGGATGATCCTGTGGCCTCCTTAGCACATGCCCATACCATCGCAGACGCTGTTCCCGTACCTTCAGCTGGACAGGGGCAGTCTGCATGACCGCTCTGACATCCTCGTTTCTGACCCTGTCCAGCCGCGTCCAGCCGCAGGCCCATCTCAGCATCCTCATCTCAGCGGAGTGAAGCTGCCTTTCGTGATTCTTGTTCAGGGGCCAGCACTCGCTGCCGTATAGCATCGCAGGCCTTACCACTGTCCGGTACACCTTCCCTTTGAGCGTTCTGGAGCACCTTCGATCGCAGAGGATTCCAGTGGACTCCCTCCATTTCATCCATGCAGCGTTGACCCGAGCCTTCACTGCCTGATCCACACTGCCGTCGGCTGCCAGATCGCTCCCAAGGTAGCGGAAGTCCTCCACTCTTTCGATGGTCTCACCATGGCCGTCCACGATCGGCTCTGCACCCTCTTCGGAGCTCAGGAACTTGGTCTTCTTGACATTCAGCCGGAGCCCACCTTCTGCCAGGACTTCTGCCATTTCTGCACCTTGGCTTGAAGTTCCTCTCTGCTATCCGCTATCAGGGCGATGTCGTCAGCGTAGAGGATGGTCTTCAGTGGTCCTTCCATGAGCCCTTCACCATGGTATCTAGTGTTAGGAGGAAGAGGAACGGGCTCAGAGCTGACCCTTGGTGCACCCCAACCGTGATGTCCACCTCCTTCGTTAGGCCGTGTGGGGTGCGTATGGCTGCCTTGGCTCCTTCGTACATGTCCTTCACCAGAGAGATCAGGTGTTCTGGCACGTTTCGTTCCCTGAGCGACCTCCATAGTACTGCTCGCGGTAGCCGGTCGAACGCCTTCTCCAGGTCGAGGAAGGCTAGGTAGCAGGGTCGGCGCTTTTCTCGATACTTCTCCATCACTTGCCTTGCGATGAAGATGGCATCCGTTGTAGACCTTTCGGGCATGAACCCGAACTGTTCCTGGGAGATCTGGAC